TAGGGCTCTCTTGAATTGATTGGCAGCAGTTATCGTCTTACATCAGCAGGAAGGGAATTCCATGAAATACTGCCATGAAACATAATATAACTCTAGCGACCAGCATGCCCGTTAAGGAAAAGGACTGGGAGCAAGTAGGAAACTTGTCCCCAGTAATGCGCTGATCATTCTGCACGGTATTTGGAGCAGTCGTTGTAAAGAGTTGCTGCAGGAGTGGGCCACAATATCCATTGATACAGCAGTGTACAAAAATTATAACTTTCAGAATGTAGTATGTGTCAGGCTGACAATACTAAGAAGTGCCAGAAGCGGTGGGGTGGAGCGAGAAAGCGCTGTTGCAAGGTTACACGAATGCCGACTTTGAAACTCTTCTCCCGACGTCCAAGCATCTGGACAAAAAGCCGAGGAACAAAGCTATTCGAACCATAGCATAGCTGAGAGAGGACCATACTAAGGAACTAAAGGTGCGTCTTGCACGCAGACTGAGTCCTTGACCATGCCTACAGAGCTGGTGTGCAATGACTGTACGGCTTCCAGGACAGCTCCTCATCCAGTATTACCCCCCCCCCCCCCGCGATACTTAGCCCAAGGTGTGACAGGAAGTTTGCCAGCATAGCGAAACAACTCAGGCTGCGTGTCATCTGTTCCAGAGGGCTTTATGAACAGATGCTGAGTTTTTGCTGCATTCAGCAGCAAACCAATATCTTCAAGCCATGTGGCGAGGCTTGTAATGGCGTGGCTGACGATTCGTCATACTTCAGTAAGGTCGGTGTCTGAGCACTCGAGAGTAATAGCGTCCAGAAATTATTGGTTGTTTACCGCCATTGGCAGGATCGTACTCAATGTGCTAGTGTACAAGACAAGTAGCAGGGGGCCAAGAGCGCTGCTCTTTGGGACACCTCGAGCACAAGAGACCGCAGAAGAGAGATGTCCCTGGACTCTGATCTGCTGGAAATGGCCTGAGAGGTAAAAGGCAAACCAAGTGAGTTTTGATACCAGAAATGCCAAGAGAGAAGAGTTCAGTCACAAGGCGCTTGTGTTGAACGTGATCAAACGCTTTCGACATGTCTATGACCACAACTCCAGTGTACTCTTGTCGAGATGTGGCTAGAGACCATCTGTTACCTGCGAGGAAAAGTGCATTGTCTTGTAAATTTCTAAATTCTGCACCTCAGAATACATGCTTGCATCTTGTATTTATACACCTGCAACCTAACGCAACTCGTAAAACGCCAAGTTTTGACTAAATTCTGGGCCAGTAACCTGATAACATCTAGCAACAGTTCACGACATGAATTTACATGTTGTAAGACTTGCTGGTGGAACATAATTTTTCAAAAAGTGAAATTTTGAACGGAACCAGTGCACCTCAAAAACGATTCTCTGGCTAGATGTACTAATTAAGCATTATGTTGTAAAGTTTCATTACACTTACTGGCTAAGCAGGCAAACGGAAGCTCCTCCGAATTTGGTTTCACCACTCTGCTTTGTAGCTGGTTGCCTTTTACTTGAAAGGCATAATGAGTCTGAAAAGTAATGAGGTCGGATTGACGAGACCAGAAGTATGGGTCTTTGAAGACATTGACTTCAGGTTTAAGTTTGCGGAGCAAAATAGACAGAGTTTCTACTTCAAAGCCATTGTCAAAGTCCAAGAGTCGTGCATCATAACCGTGCTTGTCTATGCAGTGTTTTGTAGCGTTGTAATGAGTCAACCTCTGCAACCTGCGGCTCAAGGGGTTCACCGGCAAAACAACATATACATTATTCCTGTGGTACTGGGATGCAGCTGTAAGTATTAAATGCACAACAAGATAGAAGTTAAACATGTGCAAGCAAACACATGCTGTCACATCCCTCTGCTAGGCATTTCAATCCAAAAGTCAAATTGTGCAATTAGCGCTTGGAATATGTTTCTTATACTTCCTCCGGAAACAAAAACTTCGTGACTATTTTACATGACTTTTCAAGGAGTTACTGTGCTCAACAGAAGTGTTCTTTTGGAAGAGAAACACTTCAACACATTCAATCGACATTATTATCGACATAATATCTATAATATCAGACTTGGCAACTTCACGCCTGCACCTGACACTTGCGCTATGATATGCATCGCCTATGAAACCCCTCAGAATTTCCCACCTTACTCCCCCTTATGTTCTGGCTGCCCGTTTTGGATCCATCAGTTGCCTGATGATCGTAGTGATACGTAAAACTCAGAGTTGTAACAAAGCTTCCAAACTCTCTCTCTTGTGTAATATCTACAGGATCGATTAGTGGGAGTACAGTCTGAGTCCGGGTCACCATCGCTCGACTCAACACGGCTGAAACCGTTCCAAGTGACAGGTCGATCGACGCTATGTGGTATGTCGAGGAGAAGCTTCCCCGCATTTCTGATCGTCTTCACTGTTACCTGAGTGCCCTGTCCAAAATCTAGGCAGAGACCACGGTAGCGCTGCAGCACTGGTACTCGTTACCGCTTCCGCTCTCGCTCGAGGAAAAACACGGGCAGAGCCAAACATTTCAAATTTCCTCCGACGGATATCATAGTCCTACCAGCACTTCCCGACTGCCCTGATCAGATCTCGCCTGTTCTCCTTTGGGACCAAGGACACATCGTCAAGGCTGAGGTAACATCATCCAGGTGGAGGTCTGGGCTCTGCAGTGGCTGAATGTTGACTTCTATTTTAAACTTGTTCATCTTGCTCTGCTGCGCGAAGTGACGGTTGTCACATCTCTCCATATTATAGTGTTGACATTGTGCCGACCTGTTTGCATGCCGACAGCCGTTTCGGGGATGGCGAAGATTTCAAAACGCTAGCTGCTATTGCTATTCATTTCCCACTCTTCTTGCTCCTCGGTGCCATTGTCCTGCTCTGTCAAGCTCAGAACTAAAACATAGCAACGACGAGCAGTGAGCGCAGTGCTTTTCTTCTCATTGCGCATGGGGGACGAAAATGAAAAACATGTTCGCTTTGCTTTGTTTGCCTTGCTCTGCGACGACTGTCGACTCTCCAGAATATGAATTATGCTTTCCTACGATTCCGAGATGTCATGTCAGTGTTCCAGGCTGACAGAATCAGAGAGAAAGAGCAAAATAACAGCAGCAAAAAGTAGTGAAAAAAGTCACGAAGTTTTTGTTTCCGGAGGAAGTACCAACTAGTTGATGTCGACCGCAAGCAAGAGTTCATAACTTCCAACAGTTTACAACTCTTCGTCTATTGCACTGTAGATTTACTCTCCACGGCACTCCTACATTACGCCATGTTCATGTGCTGTGTGATCATGCATCATCTAATAACTGCTATTTGGGCCTTGGATGAATTTACAACGTCCTCTGTAAACATATTATACCTTTTGACCTTTTTCAACGATGTTTTTCCAAAGGCTGTCATCGACAACCCACTTTCATGTTGAGGTACGGTTGATCCCGAACAAATTCTCCATGGAAGCCATGCATGTGAGGTTGTTGCCCACAGGAACTCACGGGTCAAGGAAAAAATTGCTTGCACAAATGCTGACACCGTGACGCAGTGGTGCTCGCGCCTGGAAGTTGGATTCATGTGGCACTCACTGCCCTGAAGCTGGCCAGGCTCTGTGCTTACAGCGCGGCGTTGCACGGCATCATACGCAGAATGAGAACATGAACCTGCTCCGCTTGATGAAACTTTTCAGTTATCGTGCAATCAGGGCAAAGTCCTGACCGGAATATTGACTTTCTTCGCTTCTCTTCAGCCAGACATCGACTTTTTCGCGAGGGTGAATCTCAGGAACATCCTCGAATCCGCTGTAGAATACTGTGAGGAGGATCCTACCGAGCAACTGCGAAGCTTGGGGATGTGCTCGAATGACTCACGGCATATTGTAAGTTGCTGGTGGAAACGGCTGGATCTATGCATCACTCAGTAGTCCACCAGCTCTTTATATGTGTTCACAACTCTAAACACAGAGAGGTTCCAGGCTGTCCAAGAGAGTGCTCAATACCGAGTGGTAGAGCTGGTGTTCTGCAGAGGCATGCTCCTGCCTCGGCACACACCCAAACCACACCAAGGACCAGCTCGCCACTATCAAGAGAACTCTGTTAGAAAACTCTGATTAGTTCTCTGGTTAGGGTTAGGGTTAGGGTTAGGGTTAGGGTTAGGGTTAGGGTTAGGGTTAGGGTTAGGGTTAGGGTTAGGGTTAGGGTTAGGGTTAGGGTCATCATGAGGTCCCGAGCTCAAGACCCGCGCTGGTAGCAGGGAGCGTGTAAAAAGACTTTTTACGCGTGTTGAATTGAGCCGACACCCACGGTCAACTGGGTACTCACAGCTCGGAGTGAGAATAACAAGGATGCAGTTTACAGGGTTATGGGCCGTTACACGCCCGATTGGTTGAGAGACTAACCTCCTCTCCCCTGACCCACTTGTGAGGTCTGCATTCGCCACTAAGGTTAACAGGCATAGTGGTGGCCTGCGGATGCGAAGGCTAGTTTGTGTGTTTCTGGACATTCAAGCGATGCCGACGCGGATCCCGCAAATATTATTTATTTATTATTATCAAGCAAGTACAGGCTATTGTTGGGTGCGCAAATTCATATCGCCACTTCAACCGAAACGCCGCTCGTTTTTCTGCACATTTGTCGAATTTGTCTAAGAATGGTAAAGTTTTTCCGTGGGGTAAATAACAGCAAAACGCATTGACGAAACTGAGGTCCGAACTTGCGACTGCACCTGTCTTATCTTGACCGAACTGGAACCTCACTTTTACTTCAGACATGGCTCGATGATGATGGTGTCTAGACTGCTTGGACGGCTTGTGTTTAGGGTGTGAGATATATCTGGTTGGCTATGCTGATGTCTAAGTTGAGACTCAGATTCTTCCTGTGGTAATTGGAACTTTGGGCACCGCTTCCAAACAGTTCCCAGGATGAGCTCGGCGGGGCTCGGAAAATGAACCTGTTTTACGCCAAGGTTCATCCCGAAAAATAGAAACAATTTGAAAGCTTACCTAAACACTGTGGTACCTTAGTAAGAGTTTCATGGTTGACGCATTTTGATGTTGCAGGGCCACTCAACCAAAAACCAGCATTACAAGTAAATTGGACAGCTTCGAAATATTTGATTGATGTGCTATTGGCTCTGCCATTCAAAATATTCCGCACTGGGCATTTAATCTCTGTAAATCAAGAAAAATAATCCGGGTTGGTACGGTACGTATCACCTATAAGATTGGCGGCTATAGTGATCAAATTCTCAAATTCATTTTCATTTGCCAAACCTAAGTTTGCACAGTTACCGCATATAGTAATAATCGTCTTTAGGAATATTTAAACTCGGATCCTGAGCCAGTAATACAATGTAAAACAGATATTTGCTGCATAACTCGTTCTCATGTGTTTCTTCTCTTTTTACTATAGTAATATAATCACCTACAGCAACAGTACATAACCCCACGGGGGTTATGTACTGTTGCCTATAGTGATAAAATTCAAATTTCAAAAAACCGCTACTGCATTACTTTTGCATCGGTTAATGTTATGTTATGTTGTGTTATCTTTACTTTACTTCACCATAGGTACAGGAAAAAAAATATAATTCGCGTGAGACTCGGTTTCTCTATATAGAGGCTGAGTTCTTCGCATCCGTAGGAACGCTACCACCCTTCAAGGATCAAGGCGCAGATGCAGCTCCTAAAGCGGGGGGAGGTGAGTAGATCAGCTCACCAGCGTGTGGTCAAAGACCGAAAATCCCATTCACTGCATCCATGTTTTCCTCATCCTGGCTTGAGGACAAAAGAGTTCTGACTGCTGTCGTGAGCACAGCACAAACAACAGCAGGGTCACGGTCGGAGTAATCAACAACGATATAATCTGCAAACTCTTGATTGCAAACTCCATGTGGAAGCACAGACGCTATATCACTGATGTAGAGAACAAAATATGAGAGGTCCAAGTACACTTCCTTGAGGAACACCTCTGGAGCATGGAACTGGCGCTGAAATCTGGTCTTTGATTTTGACACACTGTTGACGTTCGGACAGGTATGAACAAAACCACTGCAGCACCACACCACCAAGCCCAAACTCAAAGAGGATTTGTATAAGCTGGCGATGGTCAACTCTATCAAATGCTTTGGACATGTCAACCATGACGATGCCCGTGTGCTTGCGTTCAGATTTATCTAATAACCAAGGGTTGGTGGCAAGGATCAGGGCATCCTCGGTAGAATGACCCTTACGGTATGCAAACTGAGATGGGGGGAGTAGACAATGACGACTCAAGAAGTTTATCAGCTGTTGCTTAACAAAATACTCCAATATACGTGAGACAATAGGTAACAATGAAACAGGTCTATAGTTCTTTGCTGATGTCGCATCGCCTCCCTTGAAGAGTGGGCTCACATGTGATCTCTTGAAAGAAACTGGCACCTTTCCACCGGATAGGGATCTGTTTATAATAGGAGTTACATATGGACCTATCGCTTCCAGTAGCTTTCGTGGGGTTGATGCACTGTAAGCACTTGGAAACATCAGGAATCTGAACTGCAGTGAAAGATGTCAGTCCCACTGAGCCAGTTCGGCCAGCTGGCATTGGCAATGTGGCTGGTCAATGGGGATCATGGACAATGGCTCCAGATGCATCATTTAGCTCTGTGACAGTTACTTGTGGTGCGTGCCGACTCTTCGTTCTGCCTGTTACGGTGTTCATGACTGCCCAAAGCTTCTTCTGATCTGCTGTAGCACATTGCTCTATGAAATAGACATCTTTCAGCCGCCGGCCAAGGCACCTGGCTTTGGCTCTTGCTTCTCGGTGAGCAGCACGTAGTATATCATCTGCACAATTTCGCTGAAGGCGACGGTGAAGCCGGTTTCGCTCTCGAACGCATGCAACAAGTTCATCTGTGAGCCAAGGGCAAGGACGACGTTCCTTACGGCGGCGCAAAGTGACCGGAGCATGCTTATTTAGAGTAGTAACAATGGTATCTGTGACAGAGCATGCCATACTATCGATTGAATCCTCGTTAAATGATGAATTCAGTGTAGAGGCTAGGTCCACGTGAAAAGTATTCCAATCAACACGATGAAGGCGACGGCTATTTGTCATTGTTTCACCCTGGCGTCTTGAGCTAGATTTGCAAGGAAGACGAGCTAGGACAGCATAATGGTCGCTGATATCCAGGTACACAATTTCACAAGGACCTTGAATGGGGGTGGTGGACAGGAATAAGTCTATGGTAGATTGTGAGTGACCCGTGACTCTGGTAGGAGCGTTCACGTAATTCTGTAAGCCAAAACGGGCGAGGATGCGATGTAGGGGTGTGCAGAACCAGTTTGCGTGTTGCCAAAGACAACATTCAGATCACCAATATGCACAGTAGATGATTGACGACCTTGGCAAGCATACTCAATGTTCTCCTCGAAATCTTCCCAGTAAGCAGCACGCATGTTGGGTGGTCCGTATGCACATCCCCTTTAAAGTAATTATTAGAAAACTACAGGCCACATTCCTCGTACTGCTATTTTTTCCGAACCTCAACACCAGTTATGTATCACCTATAAGATCGGCGGCTGTAGTGATATAGCGGCTACAGTTATCAAATTCTCCAATTCATTTTAATTTGCCAACCATAAGTATGCACAGCTACCGAGTATAGTAAAAATCGCCTATAATAAAAGTAGAAAGGAAAAGGACATATGGAAACGAGTTAAGAGTAACTCTCCACCACTGTAACTAGATACTATATACAGTCAGAAAGTGCAACAACTAGGCACAAAATTGACAGAATATGGAGACATTCGACGTCCTGTCCTGTCCTGGCTATCGGTTAGCGCTACGGAGATGTGTTGAAGCTAGGTGTCAGGACGTCGAATGTCTCAGTACTCTGTCAGTTTTGTGCCTAGTTGTTGCACTTTCTGACTGTATATAGTATCTAGTTACAGTGGTGGAGAGTTACTCTTAACTCGCTTCCATATGTCCCTTTTCTTTTCTACATTTATTATTGGCTCCATACGTATATAGATTGCCGTGATCATGAGCTCTTGTGGATTTCCCTCGCAATGCACTCCGGAACTAAGACTGTTTTGGGTGCGCTCTACCGGTCTGGCTCTTGTGCAGAGATAGACACCAGCCTGATGGACTACCTAGAAAACACTTTGGATGATGTCCGCCGTCTTGGCAGCAATGTGATAATTGCCGGGGACATCAACGTGCATAATTCAGCCTGGCTACAGAGTAGCAAGATTACCCGAGCCGTTGAATACCTGGAGGAAGTCTGCGCAGCACATCACCTTGCCGACATGTCACCCAGCCAACCCGCGGTAGCAATACTCTCGATCTTATCATCTCCGATTTCCCACACCCCGTATGCACCACAGCCTATGCACCACTTGGACGATCTGATCATGCCGTTATTATTGCCGAGTTTCTCCAACAGCATCCATGACGCGAAGATCCTGCTGTTCGACAGGTTTGGGGAAATACGCCTTTGCAGACTGGCACCGTCTGAGAGCCTACCTCCGCAACGTAGACTGGCCCGTCAAGATCCATGGGTGTGCGGAGCAGTCCTGTCAGCGCGTAACTGATGTCATCATGCATGGAATGAAACAGTTCATACCATCCAAAGAGCTTGTGATACACCAATCCATCCCTGTATGGTGGACACCAGACTGTTCTAACGCCAATCATGCCAAGGAGTGGGCATGGAAGCTGTGGCGACGCGATCCCCGCAACGATAACCACAAGGTCCAGTACATCACAACTGTTAACCACGAAGTGGAAGCGTGTCATGCAGCGCAATTTGCACATCAACGTAGAATTCGCAACAAGCTTACTGCAGGTTCCCTCCGGGACAAAGAGTGGTGGTCAACCATCAAGAGCGCAGCAGGCAAGGAAGGTTGCTCTGACATCCCCCTGCTGACCAACCCTGCAGGACAAGAGTTCCACTCTTCTCGTGAGAAAGCCGAGTGCTTTGCAGTGTATTTTGCGAACAAGTGCAGCCTTGGCAAAACCAACCTCTGTGCTGCTGACCTGCCTGACCTGCAACGACCTGCCTATGCCACGCTAAAGCACATTCACTTCCGCGCAGCAACGGTCAAACGGCATTTGGCGAACTTGGCTGTATCAAAAGCAACTGGACGGGACGGCATCTCTGCTTGTGTGCTCAAGATGTGCTCATCTGAACTTGCAGACCCACTGGCAAAGCTCTTTGCCCTCTGCTTCTTAACCGGTGTGCAAACTGGGGCATGGAAACTTGCCCATGTAGTCCCGGTTCACAAGCGGTCCTCCAGATCTTTGGCATCTAACTACCGACCAATATCACTGCTAACGATCATGTCGAAAGTCATGGAGCGCATTGTAAGCACGCAACTGGTCAACTACCTAGAGAAGCATGAGGTGTTGCCAAACAGCCAGTTTTGATTCCGACATGGTAGAGGAACAGCAGATATCTTAACGGCTCTCCAACATGAATGGGTTCACACCATTAGTACTGGCAGTTGCGTCCAGGTCCTCGCCGTGGATGTTGTGGGTGCGTTTGACCGGGTGTCGCACACAGGAGTGCTGTACAAAGCAAAGCAGGCCGGCGTCGACGGACGCTTGCTTGTATGGTTACAGGACTACCTCACCAACCGAAACATCCGCGTTGTGGTTGGAGGCCAGACGTCAGATGCTCAACCCATCCAGGCTGGTGTCCTCCAAAGCAGCATCCTAGGACCCAGCCTCTTCCTTCTATACACTTGTGACATTGAACAATGTTTAACTCCAGGAACGCAGTTGAGCAGCTTTGCAGACGACACCACACTCTACAGCTTAGTACAGCCAACTGACGATCTCCAACAGTCCACTGCCTCCCTCCAAGGGTCCCTCAACAGTCTTGAAGAGTGGGGCCGCAAGTGGCGTATCTGCTTTGAGCCAGCCAAGACACAGCGCATGACTTTACATCACAAGCACGTTCCCCCCCCCCCTGCACTCCGCCAGTCACCTTTGGAGGTGAAGCTCTCCAGGAGACAAATACCCTGAAGCTGTTGGGAGTCATGCTCGACCCTTCTCTCTCCTACAGGGCGCACACTTGCAGTGTTGCACTGCGCGCCTCCCAAAGGCTGGGTTTCCTACGAAAGGCAGCGCCCATCCTGGATGACCATGGTCGAGTGGCAGTCTACAAGGGATTCGTGCGACCCCTACTTGAATATGCCCCACTGGCCTGGTCGAGCGCAGCCGCAACTAACATGGCCCAGCTGGACAGGGTTCAGCAGCGTGCCCTGCATTTCCTGGGACCTGGAACCATCCTCCAAAGTCTCCAGCTTCGTCGGATGGTGGCAGCCCTGTCATACTTGTTCAAGCTGCACTACATTCCAGGGCCTCCCCAGGTAAAGGCCATGCTGCCGCCAACCAATCCCCCTACCATAGCTAGCCGATGATGTGCACATGGCAAAAACGTCAGACGCACCATGGCTTCCAGCTGAAGTGGACACCCCCTCGCACAGCCCCTAACTACCTCCTGCGATCCGTCCCCTTCTTCGCCATCACACCCTGGAACAACCTGCCTGCGGACCTCCTGCTTGACGAACCTCATTCAAGACGCCTCCAAACCTTCAAGGTCAACGTATGTTAGGATCTAATCCGAAAGAGATGGCTGTGGTCCACACACTACCTGTGACGATGATATTGAGACCCATTTAGTATTTACCTTTCTACTAGTACTTGCTTGTTATGATTATTGTTCTCTTTTTTCTTTTTCCCTTCTGGTTTAGTTATTACGCGTATTTATATTATTTGGTGCAATACTAGCGCCCCTTTCTCTCACCAAATTATTATTTTTGCTACTTGACCATGCAACCCCCCTTTTTTTGCGATGCCAGGTTGCAACGCTAACGCCGAGACCCCTGGTCGGTCGAGTTGCTCCATGTACATCGGTACGTCGTCCCTACATCCCCTGTGTCTTGTTTTGTGTTTGTCTCCACATGTCTCTTTGTAGGGCTGTGTTCCCAATAAAAATAAAAATAAACAAAAAAACCCGGGTTTCGCCTATAGTATTGTATTACCTAAAGAGATAAAATTCAAATTCATAAGACCGCTACTGCGTTATTTTTGCATCGGTTAACTGGCATCATGGATAGCGCCTACCCGGTCCAATGCATCTTTTGTCTTTCCACATGATTTGTAGGTTGCTCCTCTCTTTAAAAAAAAGGAGATCAAGTTTACGAGTGGCCAATTCCGAAAACAATCAACAGGTACAGTTGTAGTTGTCTTTTGTGTCTGTGCATGATGATGGCACAGGTTTGTTTGCCAGTTTTGGTTCTGTTGCCGTCTTTGCTTTTTGTTTTGCTGTTTCCTTTCTCTTCTTCCTCTTTGCTCACGTTGATGCCATTTTGTTCGCAGACTCGAATTTGCAAGGTTGATTATTATCTCTTGCACCTTTTACTGGTTTAGGAATTGTGCCCAGTCCTGAAGTTATCGCTCATTGTGTGGGTTTTTTGTTTTTTTATTGTTTTGCATTTACATTTACATGCATTTAGAACACATGCTCAATTCTTGTGCAAGGTTGATTGCTATCCCTTGCACGTATCAGGGCCTGTGCCCTTTCCTGTTTTATTTCATCTCATAATAGTACAATCACAATAAACCAGCTTGATAATATAAAAATAAAAAATAAAAAATCAACAGGTACAGTGTTTTGTTGGGTTCGCAAATTCTTATCGCCACTTCAACTGAAACTCCGCTCGTTTTTCTGCACATTTGTCGAAATTGTCTAAGAAAGGTAACGTTTTTCAGTGGGGCAAATAACAGTAAGACGCATTTATGAAACTGAGATCCGAACTTGTGACTGCACCTGTCTTATCTTGACCGAACTGGAACCTCCCTTTTACTTCAGACATGGCTCGATGATGATGGTGTTAAAGGGGAAGTTAAGGCAAAAATTAAAATTTCACCAGTTGTAGTCTTCGGGGTGCTGAGTCGAATGGTCGTGGTCCGAGGAAGCTGAGACGCTCCCTTCCTACTTGAATCCCAATCGAACTCGCGCACTTCCACCGAAACTGGGTGACTGCGCCCTACTAGATGGGGATTTGTATGCAAAATGTCACTAAAAGCGCCATTTCGTTCTTATAAAAGCACGGATGACCGCGATTGGCCCATATGTTGTAGTCTTTTGGACGCTGAGTCGACTGGTTTTGGTCCGAAAAGGCTGCGATGCAGCGTTCGCCCCTAATTCCCAATCGAACATGGTTGAACAAGCGGTCACGTGCTCCTGCGTACACCAGTCACCTGGTCACCGTGCCTGCAGGGTACAACTTACAGCCTGTTTTGACCTTTTTTGGGTGCAGTCCTGTCACTCGAGTTGAACCTTGGTGTGAAAGTTGTCGCCTGCTGGCGTGGTGACCAGGTGATTTTGGCACCCAGGAGCACGTGACCGCTTCTTCAACCATGTTCGATTGGGAATAAAGGAGGAACGCTGCATCGCAGCCTTTTCGGACCAAAACCAGTCGACTCAGCGTCCAAAGGACTACAACATATGGGCCAATCGCGGTCATCTGTGCTTTTATTCGAACAAAATGGCGCTTTTAGTGACATTTTGCATACAAATCCCCATCTCGTAGGGTGCAGTCACCCAGTTTCGGTGGAAGTGCGCGAGTTCGATTGGGATTCAAGTAGGAAGGGAGCGTCTCAGCTTTCTCGGACCAAGACCATTCGACTCAGCACCCCGAAGACTACAACTGGTGAAATTAATTAATTTTGCCTTAACTTCCCCTTTTAAACGACCTATTGCTTTCGCTAGTCATAGTTTATCGAACCCACAAAGGAATCACAGCACAACTCGCCAAGAGCTTCTCGCTGTAGTATGGACGACAGAGCATTTTCGAGTACATTTTACATGCGCATTTTCAAAATCGTTGTGATCAACGTTTTTCCGTTACCTGATAACGTCTTTTGTCAAGGCTGGGAGTGAGTACAGTAAAATTTAGCGCTATTGTACTTTTGCTGAGGATCTCTATTGAGGTCGAAGAAACATGCAACAACATGCTACCCAGCATCCCTAGCTGTGGATATCTGGTGGACGGTCCGTGCTTGTTGCAGTTCGGTCCCGTATTGTTTCCTGAAGCCGGATTTGGTGGGAGGTAAACGCGGTGCTATGTGATTTTACAGACGAGAGTTGGCTATTTTTTCTTGTGTTTTTGAATAATATGCTGAGCAGGGAGATGGGTGAGTAGTTGGTAGGATGGGAGGGGTTTCCCGACTTGGGTATGGGTGTAATAGTTGAGTCTTTCCAATCCTGTGGTTTATCTCCGGTTCTAAAGGACAGGGCTCGGAAAATTAACCTGTTTCACGGCAAGTTTCATCCCCAAAAAAAACAATTTTGAAAGCTTACCTAAACACTGTGGTACCTTAGTAAGAGTTTCATGATTGACGCACTTTGATGTTGCAGGTCCACTCAACCAAAAGCCAGCATTACAAGTAAATTGGACAGCTTCGAAATATTTGATTATTGTGCTATTGGATGTGCCATTCAAAATATTCTGCACTGGGCATTTAATCTCTGTAAATCAAGAAAAAGAATCCGGGTTGGTACGGTACGTATCACCTATAAGATTGGCGGCTATAGCGATCAAATTCTCAAATCCATCTTCAGTTGCCAACCCTAAGTATGCACACCTACCGCTTATAGTAATAATCGTTTATAATATTATATCACCTATAGTGATCAATTTCTCAAATTCATTTTCATTTGCCAAACCTAAGTATGCACAGCTACCGTGTATAGTAATAATCGTCTATAGTATTGTATCATATAAAAAATATAAAAAATATAATTCGCGTGAGACTCGGTTTCTCTATATAGAGGCTGAGTTCTCCGCATCCGTAGGAACACTACCACCCTTCAAGGATCAAGGCGCAGATGCAACTCCTAAAGCGGCGGGAGGTGAGTAGATCAGCTCACCAGTGTGTGGTCAAAGACCGAAATCCCATTCACCGCATCCATGTTTTCCTCGTGCCAGGCCACGAGTTTCCAATTAACTGTGGGTCGCAGCACGGCTGGAAAAAATCCTGCCGCGTCCAAGCAGGACATGAACCTGGTACCCTCTGTTCAAGTATCACCTATAGAAATGGAATTCAAATTTCATAAGACCGCTACAGCGTTATTTTTGCATCGGTTAACTGGTATCGTGGATATCGCCTACCCAGTCCAATGCACTTTGTGTCTTTCAACATGATTTGTAGGTTGCTGTTCTCTGCACAACTCGCCAAGAACTTCTCGCAGAAGTATGGATGACAGGGCATTTTCGAGTACATATTTTACATGCGCATTTTCAAATTTTGTGTGATCAACGTTTTCCGTTATCTGATAACGTCTTTTGTCAAGGCTGGGAGTGAGTACAATAAAATATAGCGTTATTGTACTTTTGCTAAGGAACTCTATTGAAGTCGAAGAAACATGCAACAACATGCTTCCCAGCATCCCTAGCTGTGGATATCTGGTGGACGATCCGTGCTTGTTGCAGTTCGGTCCCGTTTTGTTTCCTGAAGCCAGATTGGGTGGGAGGTAAATGCGGTGCTATGTGATTGTACAGACGAGAGTGGTCTAATATTTTCTTATGTTTTTGAATATTATACTGAGCAGGGAGATGGGTCAGTAGTTGGTAGGATGGGAGGGGTTGCCCGACTTGGGATGGGTGTAATAGTTGAGTCTTTCCAATCCTGTGGTTTTTCTCCGTGTTGTGAACCCTCTGGTTCTCTAAAGTGTCAGGAACGAACGACCCCACACGGCACGAGGACAACTAATTATTCTCAACAGTATATTTCACTTCCATCGACTAACTAAACAAGGAATGAATGAATGAATGAAACAATGAATAACTAACACTAAAACCACCAGGTAGTTATAGCGTGAAAATGACAGCGTATATGAGAAAAGCATACGCATACAACATACAACTACAGCGCACACAGCAAACCAGACATCGCGCCTGTAGCATATACCACGTTGTAAACATCAGCGGTATGGCGGAGTCGGGATACAGCTGCATTGAAACGAACACAATGTCACAAGCGAGAAGGCCTTTCACTCTCGAGAACTTGTCGTTTCACAACATTCTCCCCACCAAAGGGCTTCTCACCGCCGTACAACAACTCACAAGTCAAACCAATTGGGGCTTACTACGCGTCATCTTCTGCTGCGGTGGTGGCCATGGTATAATATCACTAATGCCCACCACTTCGGCCAACTCGATTTCGCAAAGCTTGCCGCTGTGGGCTGTTGCACACGACACTGTCACCGATTTACTTCGACATGGGGCAGACACTGGACCAGACAACACACAACCAATAATGTCATAAAGCTCGACGATGTGGGCTGTCACACACGACACGGTCACCGGTACACTGCTTCGACCCGGGGCAGGCGCGGAACCCGAGAACACACATCCGATCTCTGTGTTCCCCACAGTCTCGCCGTTGACCTCTTCCGTGCTAACCAGTATCGCCCTTCTCAATTCCTTAGCTTCTACTCCTTGCGCTTCCACGTCTTGCGGCTCTACGTGTTGCGGCTCTACGTGTTGCGGCTCTACGTCTTGCGCCTTTAACTCTTGCGCCTCTACGTCTTGCGCCTCTACGTCTTGCGCCTCTGCGTCTTGCACCTCTACGTCCTGCGCCTCTACGTCTTGCGCCTCTAAGTCTTGCGCCTCTACGTCTTGCGCCTCTACGTCTTGCGCCTCTACGTCTTGCGCCTCCACGTCTTGCACCTCTACGTCCTTCGGCCGAGACTGCTTCTGAGCGTCTCCGACCGATGTCGCCATGCACTGCACCGACGCAGTGGGCCTTGGATCTGATCCTCCCACTGGCTTCGAATACTCCCCTGACCGCTGCTTGTCTGTAAGCAAAGTCTTCCAGGCCTTGTCCGGCGTCCTTTCGCGTGAGGCAAGCAAATCTCGCTTTGCTCCCTCATATTTACTGCTGGCGATGCGCTCGTTCATCTTCTTGAGCTTTTCGTCAAACTCTGTGGGGAGCGCGCCCTCTTGCCGTCTAGCACTGCGCTCTTCAAACTCCTCGCTCTGTCGAAGCCTCTTCTCCACGTATTCTCTCAACCTATCGCCTTCAAATCCATACCGAATTCCGCTAGCGATAAAGTTGGCTTCAATGATCCATAGTTCCTGTGCCATGCTCGCTTCGTATCCTGGCGTGGTCACCAAATGTTGTGAACCCTCTGGTTCTCTAAAGTGTCAGGAACGAACGACCCCACACGGCATGAGGACAACTATTTATTCTCAACAGTATATTTCACTTCCATCGACTAACTAAACAATGAATGAATGAATAACTAACACTAAAACTACCAGGTAGTTATAGCGTGAAAATGACAGCGTATATGAGAAAAGCATACACATACAACATACAACTACAGCGCACACAGCAAACCAGACATCGCGCCTGTAGCATATACCACGTCGTAAACATCAGCGGTACGGCGGAGTCGGGATACAGCTGCATTGAAACGAACACAATGTCACAAGCGAGAAGGCCTTTCACTCTCAAGAACTTGTCGTTCACAACACTCCGGTTCTAAAGGACATGATTGTAGGTTCTAGTGCGAGCTGGGGCGATTTCCTGGGGGGGGGGGGGATTTTGTCAAAGTCTGGGCTCTTGCCCATGTCTAGACTGCTTAGACTGCTTGTATTTAGGGTGTGAGATATATCTGGTTGGTGACGCTGATGTCTAAGTTGAGACTCAGATTCTGCCTGTGGTAATTGGAACTTTGGGCACCGCTTTCAAACAGTTGCCAGGATTCCTTGACACCATGGGTATCGCCAGCTACTGCCCTGGCTGACTTGCAAAAGAATGCTCTCCTTGGCTCGGCAGCTATCCTGCATAAGGTCCTTGTTTTGTAATGCTCCAGGGTGGGTGGTGGAGTTCTTTTGGTCATATTTCCCTCCAAACCGTCTCGTGTTTCTGATGATTGATATTTAGAAAGTGTTGTGGGTTTCTCTCTACAGTTTACCTACAATTTGGCTGCTGGATGCTAGCCTGGTTGGTGCCGATCTCCGGCCTTCTACCGAGTAAAAAAAAAAGAAGGAAATCATCGTGTCTGTGCCCGAAAGGAACTCATGACGGCCGCTAACACCCGGTCAAGCGAGTGCTGATGAAGAAAAAGACTATTTTTGCCTCAAATACTCGTTTTCATTGGGTTCTTACCTTTGCATATATAGTTACTAAGAACACCAACACATCTAGAGCTGGTGTTGCATGTAGGCTCTCCTTTTGGTGCCCTGGAACAGTCCTGGGAACAAAATGTTGAATTCAGACCTACAAACATAAAAAAGCAAAACAGAGGATTTGTGAACTAGTAGTATTGGAAGCTACTTTGCAGTGTGTTCAATAGCAAGCTCAATCATTCAGCAAGAAAACCTTACTCCACCTTAGCATTACATAAAAGGCACAAACACCCACACCCACAGACATACACACACAGACACATACACACACACACACACACACACACACACACACACACACACACACACACACACACACACCTCATACCTCAGACCTCAGACATGCCCATCGCGTAAGTGATGATAGGGTACAGCTATGTTAGACATAGCAACTCGTGCTGGGATTACACCATTCAACAGCATGCACGGCTGATGAATTGACTGCCACTATTTTCTAGCCTGGTATCCACCACACAGCTGATTGAAGTGGCTTTTTTCTGGCCAGTGAATCCTTTTTTATTTTTTATTTTTACACCCACACGCCACATCACATACTCCAGCATACACTGGCTGTTGGTAACCACCCAGGAGAATGAAAGAAGAGATAGGAGAATGAGAAAGAGAAGAAATACGTGTGTGACCATAATCGTCGGGAATCGAATCCTCAACCTATCGATTGGAAATCGCTGCACATACCACTGCACCATATGAGACACACACACACACACAGACACAAACAGGAACGCACATGGTCATACGAACACCCCGGCCCATACATATAAATCACGCACACGCACAAGCACACGCACACACAGCAGAAGAACATAAACACATCCACACTGTCAAATATGCCCGACGGGACCAGTGTGTTTCTTGTTTCTCTACGTCATTTCCACGCTCATGCTACGAGAGAGTGTTTTTTCTCTTTTTTTCTCTTCTTTCAAGGCATAACCTGAATTCAAACCCGCACTATCGCCCTGCATGCATTCCCTCTATACACTTCGCGCGCATACACATTCTTCCAAGTTGTGAATTTGTGATCCTACAGTTGAAAGCTCTTTTCAACATGTGACTAGCAGTCTTTGCCGGCACGGTGCAGAACATTCACAGGATAGGGCCAGCTATGATGCAGAACATTCATGGGATATGGCCAGCCATGGTGCGTCACGTGACAATGGCTAGGATAATAATGGCACTTCATCTACGAACAGGACACAGAACAAGTCCGGGCATGTTAAACATTGCGTATTTTCTCCCGCACACTGGATGCCTATTCAGCGATCTCTTGCTGTCGATGCATCTTGTCACAAAGTCGGCGAGTCTTCAGACGGGATGCTTGTTCTGCCGTTTCTTACGGTCAGCGTAGTCTTTCAAGAGCATGGCGACTCTCGAGGCGGCAGGACGTCACTTTCCCTATATTTTACTCTCTGTGCAGGCACTCCTGTGACGCCGTCTACTCAGAGCTTCAACACTGTCACACTCAGAGCTTCAGCACTATTTTCAATTCATTGCATTCCCAACTCATCACAACCACACACTCTTCAGCCGAACCATACAGACACCAGCAAGGACACTTCCGTTGAGAGATAATATTGCTCCACGCCTCTAGACAACTCTTGATATATGTGGAAAGCGTGCACTTGCGCCATTTCTGGTGTATAAGAATGATCATTCCTCCATTATCATCATTATCATCCTCTACTGATGAGCTCCGACAGGGAGCGAAACAGCTGTCTAGAGGCGTGGAGCAATATTATCTCTCAACGGAAGTGTCCTTGCTGGTGTCTGTATGGTTCAGCTGAAGAGCGAGTGGTTGTGATGAGTTGGGAATGCAATGAATTGAAAACTTGGCCGAAAGCTCTGTCGCGATATTTAGTTCTGAAGTTTTAATGCGCCGTTAGTGGCAGAGCAGAGTTGACACGAAGAATCGGTGAAGAAAGAAGGAGACATGACAAGACGAGTCGGTGAAGAAGGAAGGAGAAAAGCAAGACACATCTGCAACATCTTTGTTTGATCAAACTGAGCTGAGCTGCTGATACGAAGCGCCGACCAAGCATCCCTGACTGAAGTGAATGCCCCAGCTGGCCTCTCGTGTGTCAGTGGTTGCTACTAGACCTGTTAGTATCACACTCACGACTACAAGTGTCCTGGTTCGCATCGACATCGGCATCAGTGAGGCCTCCTGCTGTCGATCCTGTTGACGGGCGGACAGGTCGGTGTGAATCCTGAACGGCAACCTAGCCTGTCGCGTTGGGGGATCTCGGCGGTGAGTCTCACCTCGCCTGCATACATGGACATTGCAACATCATAATAACATACAACATACATGTACTTTCCATTGGCATCAGTATTCCGCGTAAGATTTTCGTCGCCTGTGTGGTGTGTTTCTCCACTAATGAGCTCGTACTATGATTATTTATCGCTGTTCTCACACTTTACCATTTTAGCAGCTTGATATATGTGGAAAGCGCGCACTTGCGCCATTTCTGGTGTATAGGAATGATCATTCCTCCATTGTCATCATTATCATCCTCTACTGATGATCTTCGTCCGGGAGCAAAACAGCTGTCTAGAGGCGTGGAGCAATATTATCTCTCACCGGAAGTGTCCTTGCTGGTGTCTGTATGGTTCGGCTGAAGAGCGCGTGGTTGTGATGAGTTGGGAATGCAATGAATTGAAAATTTGGCCGAAAGCTCTGTCGCAATATTTAGTTCTGAAGTTTTAATGCGCCGTTAGTGGCAGAGCAGAGTGGACACGAAGAGTCGGTGAAGAAAGAAGGAGAGATGACAAGACGAGTCGGTGAAGAAAGAAGGAAAAAAGCAAGACACATCTGCAACATCTTTGTTTGATCAAACTGAGCTGAGCTGCTGATACGAAGCGTCGACGAAGCATCCCTGACTGGAGTGAATGCCCCAGCTGGCCTCTCGTGTGTCAGTGGTTGCTATTAGACCTGTTAGTATCACACTCACGACTACAAGTTTCCTGGTTCGCAACGACATCGGCATCAGCGGGGCCTCCTGCTGTCGATCCTGTTGACGGGCGGACAGGTCGGTGTGAATCCTGAACGGCAACCGAGCCTGTCGCGTTGGGGGATCTCGGCGGTGAGTCTCACCTCGCCTGCATACATGGACATTGCAACATCATAATAATAAACAACATACATGTACTTTCCATTGGCATCAGTATTCCGCGTAAGATTTTCGTCGCTGGGTGGTGTGTTTCTCCACCAATGAGCTCGTACTATGATTATTTATCGCTGTTCTCACACTTTACCATTTTAGCAGCTTGATGTATGTGGAAAGCGCGCACTTGCGCCATTTCTGGTGTATAAGAATGATCATTCCTATACTATCATCATTATCATCCTCTACTGATGATCTTATGTTTGCAGGTTTGCCGAGTCGAAAGTTCGATGGACTTCTCGTGTTCTCTGGATGGCAGTCGTGAGTCAGTCAAGTGTCAAGTCGTCGGCGGAATAGCGCGAGCTCCAGTGTGGGAGCAAACCCATTCCTAAACAAAATCATCGCCGAAGTCGCAACCTCTATTTCGTACTGTTGTGCCCAGCGCGGGCGTGCGACTAGGTGGTTTGGAGGTGACAGCGTTGTGAATGACCGAGGGTCCTCTTCGTCTGTTTTCACCGTCCAGGAGCGATAACTGACTCACGCTGCTATCTGGTGTTCACGAGGTGTTTGTCGCGTAGGAAACGGAGTGTCTCTGTAAGTTTGTATCCCTGGTGATGTTTGTGCCTGGACAGCACTATATAAGTGGTGCTCTTCAGGCACAATCTTCCTCAGCCTACTCAAGCTCAACTGATGAGGGGTGAATTCCCCGAAACACTGTGTATTGAGCAGGGAGTGGTGCTTTCTTGCAGGTTTGCCGAGTCGAAAGTTCGATGGACTTCTCGTGTTCTCTGGATGGCAGTCGTGAGTCAGTCAAGTGTCAAGTCGTCGGCGGAATAGAGCGAGCTCCAGTGTGGGAGCAAACCCATTCCTAAACAAAATCATCGCCAAAGTCGCAACCTCTATTTCGTACTGTTGTGCCCAGCGCGGGCGTGCGACTAGGTGGTTTGGAGGTGACAGCGTTGTGAATGACCGAGGGTCCTCTTCGTCTGTTTTCACCGTCCAGGAGCGATAACTGACTCACGCTGCTATCTGGTGTTCACGAGGTGTTTGTCGCGCTGGAAACGGAGTGTCTCTGTAAGTTTGTATCCCTGGTGATGTTTGTGCCTCCACCACTCCACAGCGACTGTAACAGTGCAGGAAAGAAGCAATTAGAGGCCAACAAAGATGCGAATAGTATCATAGACGTATACCACATTCGACGTGGCTTTAGAAACCAGACCCGGCCATGCCTCCAAAGTTGTCCAGTGGTCACCGCCAGTTTGTTTGCCAGAGATTCGATGTGAATAGCCCAAGTAAGCTGGGCATCAATGAGGTATTTCGCCACGTGTGTGACTTGCAGGACACTGTTTTTGCATGTGACGAGTGACGGAGCAGTGTGAAATGCACATCTGGGACGAATAAACATCACTTGAGTCTTAGCTGAGTTCAATAGCAAGCCTTTGTCCTCAAGCCAGGACGAAAGATGAGTGACTGCTGTCGTGAGCACAGCACAAACAGCGGGAGGGCTACAGTCGGAGTAATCAATAACGATATAATCTGCAAAATGGAGGCACAGATGCTATATCACTGACGTTAATAACAAAAAAAAAGAGGTCCAAGTACACGTCCTTGAGGAACATCTATGGAGCATGGTACTGGCCATGAAATATGGTCTTTGATTTCGACACACTGTTGCCTTTCGAACAGGTATGAACAAAACCACTGCAGCACCACACCACCCAGCCCAAACTCAAAGAGGATTTTAACAAGCTGGCGATGGTCAACTCTATCAAATGCACTGGACATGTAAACCATGACGATGCCCGTGTGCTTACATTCAGATTCAGCTAATAATCAATGGTTGGTGGCAAGGATCAGGGCATCCTCTGTGAATGTTCCTTGCGGTATGCAAACTGAGATAGGGGGAGTGGACAATGACGACTCAAGAACTGTGTCAGCTGTTGCTAAACAAAATACTCCAATATACGTG